GAGACCACCATGAGCTCTTTGCAACTTACCACTGTACCATTCCTGTAGCCTACCCAACGTCTTTTTTCCCTCTCCTAGCCCTATTGAAACTCTGTATTTCTTCTCTTGATACACCAAAACAGCACTGCTTCCTTTGTCCAAAAAAAGGGCAGAGGAGCTACCATATCTCTTTTTGGTCAAATGCAACACAAAGAAAAGCATTTTGTACATTATAAAAATAAAAGTAAAAACTTGTACCAGTAGACATCCGAATGACACATATATAAATTTGAACACGTGTGAACACACAAGTTAAAGAGGAGTGGCCAAACCAGGGTCTTTGACTATCAATGTTTAACCTAATCAACATGTTGTAACCATCATGAAATTCTTTTATATTAAGCTAACATTAGACCAAAGGCTTGACTGTGGTTCGTATATAAAGCAAAACATATATTCAGCTGGGGGACTCCATCACTACATCCAAGTATTAGAGCAAAGATGTCCCTGACACACATTGCAAGTATTTCAGAAACTTGTTCATGACAACTCTATGAAGATCTAACTTTCGGTCATTTGAAAATAAAAATCCTAAATCTTTATCATTCTATTATTAGGACGGTTTATAAGACATCTGGAAAGGAATATACATTAGTCCATGGCTAATTCTTGTTATAAATTTATCCAACTCAAGTGGGTGAATCTACAACATTTTGAAGTTGATGGGCATAAGGCAGTTGCCACCGAATCCTTTTAACCAGTCTTATTTATATACACTATGGCTTCTTCTTTTTTGCGGGAATATACACTTTGGCTTTGAATCTAAACTTTGGCTTTGAATATAGACTTTGGCTTTGAATTTACACTTTGTCTTTGAATATACACTTTGGCTTTTAATTTACAAGGGATAGCTAACAGTGGTGAAAAAATATATATTTTTTGGCTTTGAATCAAGTCTTATTTATATTCAGCAAAATACTCCAATAACATATTGAAACTAATAGCAACAACATACACCGTCCTGTTTATGGGTTAATTTTGTGAACTTTTTCAAGCTCGCAGGCAAGTATTAACCGTAAAGCACAACTCTACTCAAAAAAAATGTAGCAAAAGGGAAGTCTTATTGGAGGTTCAATCCTCCCAAGGGGCGTGATAGAAATTCTCACAAAACACAGTAATATCTTCCCGCAAATACGGTAGAGTCTAATGATAAAAATAGCCATCAGACTATTGTGTTTCCTTAAAAAATACACACCATTTTCATTTCAAAATTATCTAAAGTAATCCTTAAATCAATATGTAAAGGGCCTCGCTAGGGCTCATCTAGATGAGAGCTAATTATCTCTCATCTAACCTGACGTCATATGTTGATGTCATACTGTTTACCCCCAGCTCGTACAATTTTTGAGAGTTTCCTTGTTTCAGTCGCTTGTGCTTTTTTTGGGAGAAATACCTGTTATTTTATTCATACTCGTAACAATTACAGGTACACTGATTTGGATCTAAAATTTAAGAAAATTTAAGAAAATACAAAGTAACTCCTATGACTAAGAATTACAATGAAATCTCCTGGAAACATCTTCTTCGCGGTATCAAACTCTGCTAGAAGAAATACTCCAAAGACTTTGATAAAGAGGCTGCAATCGGACTGGAGCAACGGTGTTCTCACGCTTTCCCCCGCACGAATATTACCAATAATGTTTTTTGAAAGCGTCTTGAGTTGCCCATCTAAAAAAATGGGAAGCCTTGATCGATGAACGTACTTGGACCGGGGATAATCCCCTAGAAGTGCAGGCCGTCGGATCACAGTATCTTCACCATGATGTCGATGAAAGATTTCAACTCCACAAAAATCAAACCAATAAAAAAAATTGACACATCAACATAAACTCATCAGATACGAATAATCGGATCAACGAGGTCAGAAAACTATCTAATCTCATGGCACCGTCAAAAAAGAACGTGAATAAATTTATTCTCACAAAAAACAATGATCACTTGATTATGACAAGGAACGACTTAGAACTCTTGAAGATGCCAGGCCCCCCACCCCTCAGTGCCAAGATGGGCAGCGGCGGGACTTACAGCCATAAACGAAACCCTCAGGAGGAAAACCAAAAGAAAGATCAAGTGTCGCTTGTGTTGTTGTGGCCTGTGTTTTGTCTGCTCCCTTTTTCTGTGTTTTCTTCTTTATGTGGGCTACACCGATCGAGCTTTATCTCTGGGCTGGGCCAGACAAAAAAGACAAAGCAGGAAGCGAATATAATGGCTCAATCAAAACAAAATGCATGGATGATTTGCATGCGTCTCTTTGAAAGAGAAGGTTATTCAAGAAAATGTGACTCCTAACCATACATTCAAAAACAATTTTGTTTGAACTATTTTATTTTCGAACGAAAATAATTTGTTTGCACATGTGCAACAGAAATGCAACTGCATGCGTCCGGCCCCGTGCAACTGGAGAAATACACCCCATCATTAAAATAGATTTATGGATGGTTGAACGTTTGAAAGCAGAATCCCACAGCAAACAATATAAGTTTTCCCTTGACATTTATTTTTGCCCCTCACAAATACAGGCCATGCATTGTCTATACTAATTCCACATCAGAAAACAAGCACAAGGCCTCACTTTATATAGATAGATCGATGAGTTCCACAAAAACACGATTATTGAATATAAAGATTCAACGCGAACCAACCTGTGGTTGGATGGTTAGAGGGACTGTGGTATTCCCAGCCCACCAGGGTTCAAATCCTGGTGCTCGCATTTATTCCTGAATTTATTTCAGGATTTTCGGCGATGCGCATTCAGTGGGAGGAGACGTTCCCATCGACGACGGGGTGCCTACGGTGACTTCGTAAATTTCAATATGATATGCTGACTCAGTCTTTCGGAGATGCTCATAGGGGTAGGGTGTGCGTGTGTATATGAGCGCTTACGTATGTACTGTGTTCAAAAAAATATAAAGATTCAACAAGCAAAAGGGAAATAGTTCAGACTGGGGCGGCAGCACAGAAAGCCCGACATAAAGATAAAGAAAACAAGCTACGGAGCCGGCCGGAGCAGCAAGCTGGTGAGCCACCCTCCGGAGGCCAAGAAGAAGCCCATCCAATCCGCCATGATCCTGATTCCAAGCGAGCATCCGCCATTGCTGAATCGAGGCTACTAATTCAACATCACTGGTGTGAACTGGAACTGCCCACATCCCTTCTTTTTATTTCATCCATCCGATTATTTAATTCTTCAAACTGCATGCCATGCCTTCAATATTGGATTATTTATTCGAACATAGCACCACTTGGCTTGGTTTGGTAGTGTTAAGCAAGCCTTCTGGGACGGAGTTGAGCTTCGCAAACCACTTGGCTAACTTCTTGAGCTTGCGCTTGTTGTCGTCTTTCTTGTCGATGTAGACGAGGCCGAATCGTCAGTTGTAGACAAGGCTCCATTCGAATTAAGTTCACTATTGGTTGTTTTTCTTAGGTTAATTTTCCCATCACAATCCTTGTTTTCTTGAACATGTTGGCAGGTTCAATGATGACCCAACGTCACATAAACCTATGCTCACACATCATGATGACCCAACGGAAGATGAGGTAAACATGCTGCTCACTATCGGAATCACCTTATAGCGAAATCCCGTCGGCATAGGGCTATGCCAACGGCCACCGTCGGCATAGGACCGTCAGCGTAGAATACATCGGTGTTTCCTTGTCAGACCGTCAGCATAGCACCCTATGCCGACGGCTTTCCGTACGGTCGTCGACATAGGAGCACCGTCGGCAAAAAAAGGGGAGACGGCAGCTGGCGACGCCGTTGCCAAGTCCATCCAACCAGGAATGGCTGCGTGGCACGCACGGCCGGCGGCATAGATACGAGCTAGGGAGCACCAATAGGCCATCGGCATAGAGGACGTGGCGGCTACTAGGAGCTCGGCCACAACCTATGCTGACGGCAAGGCCTTCGGTAAAACTATTACCAATTTTTTTTGTTTTTTTTGTTCTGACCTACAAATTCACACATATATATACATCAATATATGCTGATGATCATGTAAAAATCATCATCATCATCTACAAGTCATCATCATCATGTGCAAATCGACACAAGCATCATCATCTACAAATAAACAACATAATCATCATCTACAAACGAACATTATCATGAACATACATAGAATCCATAAAAAATTGATAGAAACATCATCAACATGTGGAGCATCCACAGACAATATCAAAACATCGTCGAAACATCATCAACATAATATGAAGTATTAAACATGGGATGAAGTATAGAACATGAGAACACAAATGAAAGTGGTCAAGCGCCACCACTACCACTGGCATCATCGCCACCACCACCACCAAGACCAGCAGCACCGCCAAGACCACCACCACCTTGCCAGACCAGAGTGACCGGGCTCCATGAACTAGGAGGGGAACCACCAGGACCACCACCACCAACGGATGATCCACCGGTTCCCTACATGCTTGAAAAGAGATGGTAAGGGGAAATATGATAATGTTGAATCAACGATAACTAGCAGTTGAATAGTTTGGCCATGTACTAACCAGAGTCCCACTGCCTAGTGCCACCTATTCTTCGAACGTAGGCAAGTCGGGGTACGGTCCAGCAGGTGGTGGTGGTGGTCACATTGATGGTGGAACCGTGCCGTTTTGCATAGACGTAAACATAGTCTGGATGTTAGTTGACCAAGCAAA